GATGTGCATATAAGCACGGCTCTATGGACAAAGTATTAAATTTGGCTTCCCTTTTGGCCCCCTTTACTCTGATGTGTTAAGTTTGTTTTGGTTTGAGGCCGTAGGTAATCTTAGGATTACTGGCCGGTTACGTCCTTAACCCGTGGGGGCGGGTTCGGGTCGTGACAGAGCACTTCAGTGCAGATCAACTCCTGGTTTTCAGCTATTCTCAGTTGGTTGTTAACTAACTCATTGGGGTTTAAGAAGCAAAAGATAAAAGAATGGCTATGAATGCAGACAAGGCACGAGATTTACTTAAGAAATTCCAATCCATATGAGTGGAGCAGATCAATCTTGATAAAAACAGTCACACTGACGCCCTAGCCTGCCTTGGTTCATCAGTAGATACCAAAGATGCCAGACAAGTCTGGGTTGAGTTTGTGCCAAAACCAAACATTGCATCTCCATACCAAGTCCTCTGCACCGACCTGGAACCAAGCTGGATGGATCCAATACTTGTTTTTCTGAGATCTGGAACTCTCCCCGAAGACAAGAAAGAAGCCAATAAAGTTCAACACAAATTAGTTCGATTTTGGATCTCACAATTTGGAAAATTATACTGACGCTCCTACCTTGGCCCTTATTTGCTATGTGTGCACCCAAATCTAGTCGAAAATGTTCTCTATGAAATTCACGATGGGATTTGTGGAAGCCACGTTGGTGAAAGGTCACTGGCGCACCGTGCCCTCACTCATGGATACTGGTGGCCACAAATACAGCACGACGCATAATAGTACGTTCAGAAGTGTGACAAGTGCCAGAGGTTTGCTCATCTGATTCATCAGCCAACAAAAAGTCTCACTCTGCTCACTAGCCCATGGCCTTTTGCCCAGTAGGGCTTGGACATCATAGGACCTTTGGCACGGGGGACTGGGAACAGGCGATTCTTTATCGCTGTAACTGACTATTTCACCAAGAGGGTGGAAGTTGAAGCATTGGCCAGCATCAAAGAAGCAGACACAGAGCAGTTTGTTATGCAGAATGTCGTGGTCCGTTTCGCCATCCCATAAGTACTAATTACAGATAATGGAATGCAGTTTGACGGAAAGATTTTCAAGAAGTTTTGTGCCGATCTTAGGATCGAATATTGAAAGTCCTCTTCAGGCTACCCACAGAGCAATGGGCAAGTAGAGTCGTCAAACAAAACCATCATTAACGAAGTAAAGAAACGGCTTAAAAGTGCAAAGGGGAAGTGGATTGAAGAGTTACCTCATGTGTTGTGGGCCTATTGAACCACAGTGTGGCACTCGACAAGGGAAACACCCTACTCCTTGACCTATGAAATGAAGGTTGTTATTCCATTAGAAGTTGGGCTCCCAACCATCTGGTCGGAACTGTTTGAAGAGACAAGTAATGAGGAAGCTATTATATAGGCACTAGACATGCCAGAAGGTCGAAAAGAAGTAGCACTGATTAGATTTGTCGCGTATCAGCAGCAGCTTATCAAGAGTTTCGATAAGAAAGTTCTCCCAATAAAATTTACACCTAGAGAATTGGTTCTGAGGAAAGTTATGGACCACAAGAGGGTTCCTAGCGAAGGGAAGTTAGGACCTGACTGAGAGGGTTAATACAAGGTTACAATTGTAGCTGGGAATGGAGCATACTACTTGGAGGATCTCAAGGGCAAATCCATACCTCGGCTCTAGAATGTAGCAAACCTCAGGAAGTACTATCAATAAGACTGACCCCCAAAATTAAAGTCTAAAAGCATTTATCTTTTGATTAATAAGAATGTCTCTTCACTTCTTTGAACTTTTGTTTCCAGCACGTGTATAGCATTATGGCCAGAATAGATTATTACTTAAACCTAATCTTTGTAATCCAAGCCTTGGGGGCATGTAAAAGTGATTAACTTTGGTGTTTACCAAACAGAATCAGCTTTGGTGTTTACCAAACAGAATTAGCTTTGGTCTTTACCAAACGGAATTAGTTTCGGAGTAACCAAACGAAATTTGGTTTTGGTTTACACTCAAACATGCCAAGTGGAATTACATGGTGGAATTATGTTTGGTAACCAAAATGGAACTTAGCCAAGTGGAATTGCTTGGTGGAAATTGCCCTAACGAATTTTTCAATGATCATTTCTTTTTTAAATCACAGAATTTCTTAAGTACAAACACATCAACACTTCAGTACTGCACCATGCAAACAAAGTTGGAACAAACTTGGCCAAAATTCTCTCAAGAACAAACTTCCAGCACTAGTCTTACTTAACTCCAGGTGGGGGCAAACAATTTTTTTTTTTTTTGAAATCAACCTGGACCTGAGTAAGACACCTCTTTATACCTTTATCCTATTCAAAGTACAAAGTTGAGACAGACTTAGGCAATTCTGCTAGGGAGCAAGATCCTCAATATCAATCTTACTTAGCTCCAGGTGGGGGCAAACAATTGTTTTTCTTAAAATCAACCTAGACCCAAGTAAACCACTCTCCTTTGATTACACGATAAGCACAACCATGCAACCTATTAACTAGACCGAACAACTATTTGGCCCTGCGGTCCAAACAATGCTCGGCCGGGGGCAAACAGTATAATTAACATAAGCATTGAAGCAAAAAGTATCATATTGCAAAGATTAACAGAAACAAGTTCCACCATTCAACCAAAGCACAGCTGGCCTAAAAAAAACAACAAAAAGCATCAAGGGGGCAAGTCGTCAGAAAGACTGAGCTCCAGTGTATCAGAAAGAAAAAAAAGAAAAAAAATAAAAGAAAAAAGAAATGTGTAAAGAACAAACTTCAAGTCTTTTCAAACAAAAACCACTCTAACTCTCATCAGCAGGAGGAACTTTAGAGGCAACGTTCGCAATTTTCTGCACGTCATCTTGGGAAGGAAAAGTAGAGGTAGCTCTAACTTTCTGAGAAGCAAGAACCTCCTTAACCACGTCTTCCATAGCCTCAGTCTCCAAGTTCCCACTCCCGTCAACATTTACTACTTCACTGGTAGCATCGCTCTTCGGAGTCTTGTTTGCAGAATCAAATCCTGGGGAAATCCTTACTGGAGGAGTAGCAAGAGTCTTCAGAACCAGAGACTTTGAGGGAACTAGAATGTTTTGAAACAAAAAGGATTCTTCAGGAATTTAAGTAGCAGCCAAGGCATTCATCCAGCCTTTCAAGAAGAGTTTGTCACGAAGTACCAACACCTCTTGTTTATAGGCAGCTCCAGCTTCATCCCAGCCCTGCTGCCAATGCTTGGCCTCCAAAGTTGAACGCTCAGCAACCATCACAGCTATAACAACCTCCAGCTTAGCCATTTTTCCCTCAAGCTAGGCCTGAACCCCAATAGTAGCCTCCTTGGACATCTCAGCAGAAGCCACAACTTTATTCAGACGGAATACCTCTCTCTCGACGATCTTGTGTCCCTTATTCTTGGCCTCCAAATTTGCTATCAATCTTTCAACATTCATGGCAGCCTCCAGTACGACCTTCTCCCATTCCTCAACTCGGGTGATGGACAGATGCATCCTTTGGATACGCTGCATCAAATAAACAGGTATTAAAGGAAAGTAAACGATTCAAACCAGTACAGAACATAAAAATAAATAAAGAAGCACTCATAACAGTCATCATTTGAAGGGTTCCCTTTAAGATTGAGATGTCTCGAGGTCCGTTATGATCTGCCATATCTGCTGGTTTCAATAAGGTTTTGGTGAAATAAAAAGAAAAATCTCCAAACGCAACAACCGAATCAGAGGTGGAAATGGGTTTACCTTGATGCATCATAGGTGGCTTCCACTTTTTAAAAGACTTATCTTTAACAGGATCTTCAGAACCCTCTCAAACTATGGCCTTGCTAGTCTCCCTCTTTTTTTTCGCCTTTTCAGCAATTGAAGTAGTGGGTTCGGTAGTAGCAGCAGATGGGCCAGAGGCCCCTATTTCCAATTTTACGTCCATAAGGCTTTTTGGCTTGTCCTTGACCAAAAGAGCCTCCAGAACATCAGAAGAGCCAAAAGCCTTTGCCTCTAGATCCACCAGTACTCTCATTTTTGACATCAATCCACCGCCTATGAAACTGAGGGCATGAGAAGGTGTCCTCTCAAAAGATAAACTTCGGTCGTGGCGGCGGTGGTTTGTGACTAGAGAAACAGGGATTGTGTCGGTCTCAGTATCAGAATCGAGAAAGGATACAACAAGCTTTGCTTTTTTTGGGATTGTGGTTCGGTAGGTTGCCCGATAATCCAATAGTTCAGGGACAGATCTCTTTTTGTACCTCAAAACAGTCTTGATCGCTTCAACATTCTCACGATTTGATCTACGTTGATAACATGAAGCTTCTGTAGAGACATAAAACATCCTTAGCACAACATTTAAACAAAACAAAACAAAACAAAAATGTAAAGACAAGTAAAGCACAAGACTCAGACCTGGGTAGCCATCCTTTTGGGGCATCTTCTCAAACTGGAACTCGGTTCCAGCAAGGAACTCCTAGTTACCACCAACTTGTAGGAAATCATCATTGTGTTTCTCGGAATTAGGTAAGTCGGTGACAAGGTGGCAGTCAGCCGAGCGGACACAGAGGTAATAGGTACTATGATCTTTATTGTGCGAAAGGATATAACAACCCAAAACGTACCATATGTCCAGATTCAGACCCAACCACCTGTTAAAAGCGGAGACGCCGCAGACAACTCGAAACAGATTTACAAACACTTGCATTGGGGTAAGTTAGACTTGGTGCAGGAAGCGACGTACTAATGGATCAAGAGGGAACCAGACCCCTCCTTCAAGAATGGTAGCAATAGGGATAGCAACAGTGTCTCTGGTACATATGCGTTTGGCACTGACTTTTGCCAGCGAAAGGGTAACATTATCAAGGATACCGTAATCACGGCGGAACAAGGCCATTGCCTCAAGAGTATCTACTAATGCACGAAATTCTTCTATTACCTAGACCTAGGAGGGTAAAGGCAAAACTATAACTGAGCAAGAAACATAAAAATACTACCAGCTGCCAGAAACAATGGCGCAAGGGCCAACGATGGTGACATAGATAGAAAAGCAATAGAAAAGAGGAGCTTCGGGAAGAACTTACAGTGATTCGATGAATAAGCGACAAAGTGCGAAGATCCTTTGAACAGGAACGAGAATAACGGAGTTCGCGACCCTCATCGAAACCAATGTAGAGGAATGAAAAGGGTTTTGGGATTTTTTAAAGTTTGGAGATAGACAAAGGGGTTTAAATTGACACCCCTAAGGGATTTATTACTGTCCACCGTTATAGCAGAAGGGAATCTTGTTGCTCAGAATCGAGTTTCTGAGTGGAATGGGAAGAGGCAGAATAATCAATGGACAAAAGGATCAATTACCCCACCAAACAAGAAGCAGAATTCAGGGAACTCCAGCATTACCACCCTTACCCACAACTCCACTCCGGTGTGCCCAGCTTGTGGAAGGCAACATCGAGGGACTTGCCACTGGAAGACTGGAGCTTGTTTTAAATGTGGCAAAACGGGTCATCCGGTAAGGGATTGCCCGCAATGGACTCAACAAAAGGGCAATAGGACTGCTACAAGTTCCGCGGGGTCTACGCCAACCCCCAACGCGAAGGCAGCTACTAAACCTACGAATAATAAAGATACTGCAAGGCAAGGTAGGGTGTTCGCATTGGTTCCAGGTGATGTACAAAATGCAGCGATGGTGGTGTCAAGTACATTTATTGTTTATGGTCATTCTGCGTATGTATTGTTTGATTCTGGCTCCACCTACTCTTTTGTGTCGAAACTATTCGCCCCTAAGTTAGATAAAACTAAAGAAAACTTGTCTTATATGTTATGTGTGTCTTCCCCTTTGGGAGACTCTATGATCTATGCTTCGGTATATGTAGCTTGTGAACTTCAACTTGGGGATATTCGGGTGTATGCTAACTTGTTACCTCTCGAAATGACCTCTTTTGATGTTATTCTGGGAATGGATTGGCTGAGTAATTATGGTGCAACTATAAACTGCTTGACTAAGCAAATTAAATTCCATCCTCCGGGGCAACCAAAAGCTATTGTTCAGGGGTAGGAAGTGACTTCGCCACCTTATCTGATTTCTGCCGTGAAGGCTTGTAAATTAATGCAGAAAGGATGCCAGGGGTATTTATGTAGTGTTTTAGAGGAGGAACAAGTGATGAATGGGGGTATTGATGTGATTCCAGTGGTCCGTGAATTTTCAAATGTTTTTCCCGAAGAATTGCCAGGGCAGTTGATAGACCGCGAAATTGAGTTTATAATTGAAGTAGCACCAGGAAGCCAATCCATCTCTAAGACGCCGTATAGGATGTCCCCAGATGAAATGAAAGAGTTAAAGATCCAATTACAAGATTTGCTTGATAAGGGATTCATCTGACCGAGTGTATCTCCTTGGGACGCGCCAATTTTATTTGTGAAAAAGAAGGATGGAACACTTTGGCTATGTATTGACTATAGGGAACTCAATAAGGTAACCATAAAAAACAAGTTCCTCTTACCACAGATTGACGATTTATTTGACCAGCTACAAGGGGCACAAGTTTTCTCAAAAATTGATCTACGGTCTGGATACCATCAATTGAAGGTCAAAGCTGATGATGTGGAGAAAACAGCTTTTCGAACCCGGTACGGCCATTACGAGTTTCTAGTCATGGCCTTTGGAGTTACTAACGCACCGACAGCATTTATGGATCTAATGAATCGCGTCTTTAAACCTTACCTGGATGAGTTTGTGGTGGTCTTTATTGATGATATTCTCATATACTCAAAGAGTGCAGAGGCTCACGAGGATCATCTTCGCCTAATCCTTCAAACACTCCGGGAGAAGAAATTGTATGCAAAGTTAAAGAAATGTGAATTCTGGCTACAAGAGGTGGCATTTCTGGGGCATATAGTAACAAAGAAAGGAGTCTCTATTGATCCGCATAAAATTGAGGCGATTGTGAATTGGCCAACTCCTAGCAATGTCACTGAAGTGCATAGTTTTATGGGATTAGCTGGCTATTATAGAAGGTTTGTTCAGAATTTCTCCAAAATCGTTGTGCCGCTTACACAATTGACTCGAAAGGGAGTTGCATTCGAATGGTCGAAAGAGAGCGGGAGTCTGCTTTCCAAGATCTGAAAACAAAGTTGACCACAGCACCAGTTCTGGCCTTACCATCTGGTACTGAAGGATTTGTAATTTATAGTGATGTTTCGCATAAAGGACTTGGTTGTGTACTTATGCAAAATGGAAGGGTTATCGCTTATGCCTCTCGACAATTGAAACCCCACGAGAAAAATTATCCCACACACGACCTTGAGCTAGCAACGGTAGTTTTTGCTTTGAAGATATGGCGGCACTATCTCTATGGCACAACCTGCGAAGTCTACACCGACCACAAAAGTCTCAAATACCTTTTTACCCAGAAGGAGTTGAATATGCGACAGCGGCGATGGTTAGAGTTGCTTAAAGATTATGATTTGCAGATCCATTACCATCCTGGTAAAGCCAACACAGTCGCGGATGCACTTAGTCGGAAAAATAGGGGGGATTTGGCAAATTTATTTACGGAACAAAAGGAGTTGGTGATTGAGTTAGATAAACTGAATGTGGAGCATGTGATACGTGGACAGGAGGTCATAATGGCAGCAGTAATGGCTCAACCGACTCTACTTGAAGAGATCAAGTTGCATCAAATGGAGGATGACACTTTAAGAAAGATACGTGATGAGTTAGAGACAAAACCAAAACCGGGGTTCAGTTTAATGGAGTCAGTGCTCAAATTTCAAAACAGAATTTGTGTCCCTAATGTGTTGGAACTTAAGCGGAAATTGATGGAAGAAGCACATGCCTCAAGATTTTCAATACATCCGGGAAGTACTAAAATGTACTGGGATTTGAAACAGAATTTTTGGTGGCCAAGTATGAAAAAGGAAATCGCGGAATTCGTTTTTAAGTGTTTACAATGTCAGCAAGTAAAAGCAGAACATCAAAGACCAGTAGGATTATTACAACCCATTCCAATCCCAGAATGGAAATGGGAACATTTGACCATCGATTTTGTTGTGGGGCTACCACGAACTCCTCGTGGTATGAATTCGATATGGGTCATTGTAGATCGATTAACTAAATCTGCTCACTTCTTACTAGTGAAAACTCATTATAATGCAGATAAGCTTGCAGTACTGTATATGAATGAAATTGTAAGGCTTCACGGCGTTTCCGTTTCAATTGTATCGGATAGGGATCCCAAGTTTGTTTCGAGATTTTGGCAAAGTCTGCAAGAAGCTATGGGTACAGAACTTAAATTCAGCACAGCTTTTCACCCTCAGACCGACGATCAATCCGAGAGAACGATACAAACTTTAGAAGATATGCTCCGAATGTGTGTGCTAGATTTTCAAGAAAATTGGAAAACCTATCTACCGTTGGTGGAATTTGCATACAACAATAGTTACCATTCGAGTATTGAGATGGAACCTTATGAAGCTTTATATGGAAGACCGTGTCGCTCCCCAGTATGTTGGGCAGAAGTTGGGGATAGCTCTTTGCTAGGGCCTGAAATTGTGCAATTAACAACGGAAAAGGTGAAAATTATCCGGGAAAGATTGAAACAGCTCAAAATAGACAGAAGAGTTATGCGGATAACAGACAAAGGGATTTGGAATTTGAAGTGGGTAGTCATGTGTTCGTGAAAGTCACACCGCTGAAAGGCCATTCAAGATTTGGAAAAAGGGGTAAGTTAACACCCCGGTATGTTGGTCCCTTTCAAATTCTAGAAAGAATGGGCCCGGTAGCTTACCGAGTGGCCCTCACTGCTGGAAAATCGATTTTTTGCGGCGTTTTAAAAACGCCGCTATAGGTACTGAAAACGTCGCTACTTCTTTTTGTGACGTTTAGTATCAAACGCCGAAGACGCGGCCGTCGCTATAGCTTTATGGCGCTTGGAAAACGTCGGTATATTAGTATAGGCGGCGTTTTTAAAAACGCCGCCAAATGTCCTACCCTAACTGTACTATGACGTCAATATGACATTTAGCGACGTTTTTAAAATGTCGTCGAAGACATTTACACATTTTAAAAATCTAACCGTTGGGATAGGGATATAGTGACGTTCAAAAAACGCCGCCATAGCCTTTATTTTTATTTTTATTTTTTTTAATTTTTGAAGTGGTGCTAATTTTATATGGTTGAAAAAAATACCTGTCATAAACAATTATTAAGAAATAATAATTGATGTTTATTAAAATAATAAATAAACTAAGTTTGAAAACAAAATTAAAAATAAAAAACAATGCAATAAGATGTGATACATGTACAATTACAGAATATATTAGTACAAACCAACTTCATACATATACATATTTAAGTCCAAAAACCAACCAAACAAGACAAACAAGTAAAAAAAAATAATCAATTTAACAGAAACATAGAACTCATTTAGGTGCTAACCAAAATTGAATGGATGCATCAAGAATTCACATCCTACTAACAAATACAAACCACTTTGATATATATATACTAAGTTTGAAAACAAAATTAAAAATAAAAAACAATGTAATAAGATGTGATACATGTACAATTACAGAATATATTAGTACAAACCAACTTCATACATATACATATTTAAGTCCAAAAACCAACCAAACAAGACAAACAAGTAAAAAAAAATAATCAATTTAACAGAAACATAGAACTCATTCAGGTGCTAACCAAAATTGAGTGGATGCATCAAGAATTCACATCCTACTAACAAATACAAACCACTTTGATATATATATATATACATACACATTTAAAGAGGTCCACGTACTCCATGAAATCTGAAATGTGCATCTCTGTCGAGTTGAGACAGCATGTACCGACTACATAGCGCTTACAATACAGTGCTTGAGAAATTTGCATGGATCTATTTGCTGCAGCAGCAAGTGTGGCTTCATTTAACCGAAGATTGGAACTTCGGCATCACCGGTTGAACTTCTTGTGTGGTGATGCCAATGAGGTTGTTGTGGCTGATTCAAGCTGTAGTTGCACTGCTTGGTTGTTCCCTTAGTTTTCGTGTCCTCCAACCTGAGAGAATAAAATTAGCCTTGTGAATATCTGTCGTTGCAACAAGAACACCAACACCATTGTTCTCATGACAAAATGAAACTTCATCATTTGACATGTATAAAAATGCAAAACCCTACACGCACAGAAAGTTTGTGTGCACAAAATGCAGCAATTTGTACATTTTGTGAGACATTGGTGGATACTGTGTGCATAAACTTTTATGCACATATCATTGCTGATGCAATTGTATTTAACATGAAGGAAAATAATAAATGATGCAATAGAAAATTTTAAGAGTAGAGATGACAACATGAGCTTCAGGAAGAGGATAATAAAACAGGTTATCCTGATTGCCAAATTATGACTATTTTCATAGATCAAGGTATCTCTCTGTTCTCTCTCCCCTTCTCTATCAATGAACCTAGTTCTGATTTCTCCACTCTTACACCCCTAAGCATGGTTTGTATTGGATCAATTTAGTCGTAAATCAAGACCAATGAATCAGTTCATCACCTACAATTCCATCAAATTTGAAACGAAACCAATCTATAAAAAAAACAAAATTTTTCGGATTTAAATAATAGACCTATACAACAGATTTGTCATAAATAATTAACATAAATAAATATTTTATGCTTTAAAATTAACAAACATGTTTTTGGGATTTTATTTTTTAAAATTTTCAAACAGTTTGTTCGCTCCAAATGTGTTTGTAGTTTTTGTTTTTTTTAAAATAAACAAAAACTAGTTTATAATTTTTTATTAAACATAAACAAAAAAACGTGAACGTTATCAAATACCACCTCAATTTTCAAAAAAATTGAGTTCAAAAATTGGAACCAAACAAGCTGTTGTGGAAAAGATGGGGATGCACAACAAAATATAACCAACTGTATAGTTCTCTGGTGTAAAGAGCTCCTACAAACCCTGAAGAGTTTAACCTCTTGTACTAATCAATGATGAGAAATAGGTTAAAGCATTCACATACTGTCAATCCATCATAGACAATGCACAAAATC